CTGCCGCATCAAGCGCAATCGTCAAACATACTGTGGGTGGACAAAATCCTGCACCACTTTGAAAGCATGGTTGAAGCCATTGTTGGTTGGTATTTGCAGTTGAATAGAATCATTGCAGTTTTCTTGGGTGGTGCAGGATTTTGTCCATCCACCGTAGCTTGGGGCCAAGCAGATTGATACTAAGGCATGCGACCTATGGTTCATGAGGTGGAGGGGCTAGTGGAAGAGTTCTTCTTTCGCAATCGCAGCAGAAGCAAGCCCCCCATCACCCGTTGCTTGCCTGCATGCCGACGCGTGTCTAGCAAAACATATGCAGTGGCCCTGTTCCCTTCCTTTCAGTGACCTCCAGTCGTGTAAGGTGAGGTGACACGGACGCAAGCTTGGGCGTTGCGCCGGTTGATCAGTGTCTTTGGAGCCGCGGGCACATCCCGCGAGAGCCGCAAATGAGACGTCTCTATGTGGATTCGGGGATTCCGTTGCCTGAAGGTGGGGTTGGTCCTAACAACAAAGCTGCAACTTTCTTTTTCAAACACGTACTGGTCCCCAAACTTTTCCTGGGTCAAACCATACTCCAGGTGAAGAGAAAGTGCAGAAGGAGAGTGACGAGGAGGGTTCTTTCCTGGACGAACAAGAACAAGAAGAAGAAGAAGAAGAAGAAATTGAAGAGGATGAAGCAGTCGAACCTTGCCTGTGTTTTTCAGAGCCCTTGTTCCCCACCAAGATTCTCTGTTTGCATGGGGGGGTTTTCTTTTTGCCCACCGGCCACCCACTCCACGAGGAACCTGAAGATGTGGCGCCTCCTCCAAACGCCCCAGCTGGTCAACCTGCGAGGGCTTTGTCTATCGCCCAAGGCTGCATGGCTTACTGTTTGTTTTCTCCCTTCCCAGATGCTCGAGGGGGTGTGCAATGCACACCCCGGCCCTGTGCATAGCACACCCCGTGGCTTGCGTGCCAAACTGTGGGGTGTCAGGGGTCTTCGCTATTTTTTTGGGGGTGTCACCAGGACACCCCGAAGGCTGAAGTCTATGTTGATTCTGTCTAACGCGTCGCAGGCCCTGCAGCTACTTGCATGCAGCACGGCCAGCGCGTCGAATCTGCTGAACATCAGGTTTACACGGTTTTCATGGGCTGACTGCTGAGGACAACAACCCTGCATCATTGACGTGTCAATGTTGAGGCTTGATCAAGGAGCTGGTTTGCTTTTTGATGGTTGTGTTTCTCACCCTTTGCTGGCTGCAATTGAATGGTTTGCCAAACTCTCCGAAATCCGTAAATCTTGGGGCAGTTGCTAGACAAACGCAGCGCGAAGCAGCTCAGCGGCGCTATGAAGCACAACCAGACCAAGCCGCAGAAGCGGACATACGGCCGAGGTGATGGCCCGTAGGTTGATAATGCTTCAGTAGCTGCTAGGTGCAATCACTGTGCAGGGCAGGTTCGACAGAGCAGGCTCAGCAAGCCCCAGCCGATCTGGCTCTAAGACTAGTCTCCACTTGGGCTTTCCAGCTCGCCTTTCCGAAGGGTTGTGGAGGCCTTCGACCTTCATGGGCAGCGAAACGGACATGAGCTTGTGCTCTTTTACGAAAACATTGCGAAACATCAAACACCACCTGCTTTTGCTTCCTGTTGCAGGGGTGCATCATCACGGGTCGAAAACAGGATGCTCACACCTGGTAAGAGTCCAGGAGAGGCCGCAGCAAAGCCGAGGTGCCCACACATTTCAATCTGAAGCGGTTCAATCACAAAGTAGGAGCCGCCAGTGGCACTTGTAGCCTTTTCAGTCCAATCCAACTTGACCCCCCACCGTTGCACACAATCTGGTTGCAGAATTCCTACCTGCAGGCGCGCGCACACGTGAAAACAAGGCGTGAAGCGGAATAGAGTGTTGGCGGCGTTTCTGAACCAGAACCCTCTCCAACATTTACCACCAAAAACATGTTGAACTGTCAGACGCACAGCTCTTTGCATGTGAGCTGGGGCTTGGACAAGCGGGCGCAAGCGCGATGTTTTGACTCTACTGCGTGTTGCTGCCCCATTGTTTTGAAGCGTTCAGCAGGTTTCCGTCTACCAACGCCCGTGTTAGTCAAATCATGTACGGGTTGGAGATTCTGTTTCTGCAAAGCCCTACAAAGGGCGACATCCTATGGCAACACGTCAAACATCATAGTCCCAAAGTCTCAAGTCAAAAAGATCCTACCGAAGTTTTTTCATAAACTGCACTGGAGCTTCAAGTGCCCCAATAGGATCCAGCGGGTTGTGACGCTCGGGCTCGGGACCCCCCACACCAGAATCCGACAGAATCCGACGGAATCCGACGGAATCCGACGGAATCCGACGCTCGGGGCGTCAAATCTCCTAGTTTCGACACCCCCTGACCCCAATCCGACGGAATCCGACGGAATTGCTTGGGCGGATCCCGTCAGATTTCGTCGGATTGGGGGTGGAGGGGGTGTCGAAACAAAAAGAGCATCGACGCCCCAAGCGATTCCGTCGGATTCCGTCGGATTGGGGTCAGGGGGTGTCGAAACTAGGACATTTGACGCCCCGAGCGTCGGATTCCGTCGGATTCCGTCGGATTCCGTCGGATTCTGTCGGATTCTGGTGTGGGGGGTCCCGAGCCCGAGCGTCACAACCCGCTGGATCCTATTAAGGCACTTGAAGCTCCAGTGCAGTTTATGAAAAAACTTCGGTAGGATCTTTTGACTTGAGACTTTGGGACTATGATGTTTGACGTGTTGCCATAGGATGTCGCCCTTTGTAGGGCTTTGCAGAAACATAATCTCCAACCCGTACATGATTTGACTAACACGGGCGTTGGTAGACGGAAACCTGCTGAACGCTTCAAAACAATGGGGCAGCAACACGCAGTAGAGTCAAAACATCGCGCTTGCGCCCGCTTGTCCAAGCCCCAGCTCACATGCAAAGAGCTGTGCGTCTGACAGTTCGACATGTTTTGGTGGTAAATGTTGGAGAGGGTTCTGGTTCAGAAACGCCGCCAACAGCCGCCAGTGGCACTTGTCGCCTTTTCAGTCCAATCCAACTTGACCCCCCACCGTTGCACACAATCTGGCTGCAGAATTCCTACCTGCAGGCGCGCGCACGTGAAAACAAGGCGTGAAGCGGAATAGAGTCCTACTTTGTGATTGAACCGCTTCAGATTGAAATGTGTGGGCACCTCGGCTTTGCTGCGGCCTCTTGGACTCTTACCAGGTGTGAGCATCCTGTTTTCGACCCGTGATGATGCACCCCTGCAACAGGAAGCAAAAGCAGGTGGTGTTTGATGTTTCGCAATGTTTTCGTAAAAGAGCACAAGCTCATGTCCGTTTCGTTGCCCATGAAGGTCGAAGGCCTCCACAACCCTTCGGAAAGGCGAGCTGGAAATCCCAAGTGGAGACTAGTCTTAGAGCCAGATCGGCTGGGGCTTGCTGAGCCTGCTCTGTCATTGTGCGCGCAGCAGGGCAGTGGGTTGAACTGGCGTCATCAGTACTCAAGGAAAGGTCCGGCTGGGTTGCATCCAGCAGCTTGTGAGGCATTAGCAACCTATGTGGCCGTCAGGTTGGCTGACAAAAGCGCAGTGTTTGCCACCTCCAGGTTTCTTGCCCGTATGGCTGCTTCGCACAGCTTTTGTCGGTTCGCAGTTGCCTTCTAACAAAGTTTGGGGTTGTAGGGGAGCGGGGAAAACATGTTGGAATTCCACGGCAAGCAAATACACAAGCGCATGTGGAAGCGCGAACCATCAAAAACCGGCCCAGCTCCCTGATCAAGCCTGACATTGACACGTCAATAATACAGGGTTGTCCTCAGCAGCTAGCCCATGGAAATCTGATGCAGCAGATAGCCCTGACCAGTGGCGCGCCTTGATCCATAGTGCGCAGCTGGGCCCACGACGCATTAGACGACTAGCCTTCAAAACGTCCTGGTGACATTCCTTCAGAATCCTTAAAGACCCCTGCCGCAATTTTGCAGGCTAGCGATGGGGTGCTGTTCGCGCACTGCAAACCCCTCGTGCAAACTGGGAAGTGAGTGAAGTCTCACCATGTCTCAGAAACGGCGCCCCGATCATTCACTTGACGCCCCGCGACGCCCCGCGACACCCCGACGCCCCAAAATCAAATCGTGAGCGTCTGGGTTCTTTGAATTTCAATTTTGAAGCTTTGTGGGAAAGAGTTGGCCTCTAAACGGGGCCGCTAAAATGGTGAGGTCCAGTGGAATCTTCGACGCCCTTGGTGACTCCTGACGTCAAAAGCTTCTTGGTTGCACAACACCAGGGTGCCGTCCCGAGGAATCCAGGAAAGGAAAGCGAAAGCTGCTTCCAAAATGTTTGGATGAATGGGCCGTGCATGTGCCTCTCCATATTGTTGAAACGCATGAAAGGGAAAGCTGCTACCAAATCCAAGTGGTATCAATAATATTCCCAAACCATGAATCAAATCGTATGCTCGCGCGTAGCCCAACTCGCTTGGAAACACTACCCTGGGGCTCGTGTTTTGAGGGAACACGGTTTCCAAATTCAGATTACGATGAGGTCCGGTGGATCTTGCAACGCCCTTGGTGACTCCTACCCCCAAAAGCTTCTTGGTTGCACTTGCCATGTTGCAAAGAGCGTAGGGTGCAAATTTCAAACAGGCGCAGATTTGCCCAGGCCAGATGGCAGCCGAAATCACCCCGGTGAAGGAACACGCGCCGACCACTCTACAGCCCGTACTTGTAGGGAAACACTTGGCGGTTGCTCATCGGGCAGGTGTCGAGTGCAAGAAGTGTGGTTGTGTGGCAAGCTGTTTCAGCACAATGGAGCAGGTTGACTGTGACACCAGGGATTCATTGGCCCACCTCAAGCGCAAGTTGGATGCTGAAACTCAACGGTTGAAACAGCTTAAGCTGCAGAAGTTGCAGCAACAATTGGCTGAGCTGAAGCAGCAAAAGCTGGCGCGTGGCTCCGACAAGAAACACGTTTTCTGTGTCTTGGCTCATGCTGCCAACAATAGATCACCTATAATTTGCACATGCGTGGTAAAGTGCTACAAACGGGTGTATGTTGGCTTGCACGGGTTGCACGGCGCTACAGGTCCAGACAACGCTGAAACGCAGCCGGTGGACACCGCGGCTTTTGACAACGCGTGCTGCATCTACCAGACGGTCACTCAGGCAGTGCCCCAGCAACAGCAGCTGCCACGCTCTCTTTCGCAGGAGTCTTTCACAAGCACGCTGTCCCTTGGCTCATCCTGGTACCGAGCTTTGCACACGCCTTCTCCAACCGCATCCGTGGGCGAACCCGAACTTGCAACTGTGTCGCCGCGCGGCGACACACGCTGCATGGAGCCGAAGAAGGATGCGAACATCCACGAGCTCACGGTCACGGAGGGCCAGGACTTCAACCACGCGGTCCAGCAGGCGGTCACGGAGGACAAGCGCACGGTCACGGAGGGCCAGAACATCGTCAACCACGCGGTCACGCAGGGCCGGGACTTCAACAATGCGGTCCAGCAGGCGGTCACGGAGGGCCAGCGCGCGGTCACGGAGAGCCAGGACATCTTCAACCACGCGGTCACGGAGGGCCAGGACTTCAAGCAGGCGGTCACGGAGGGCCAGCGCACGGTCACGGAGGGCCAGGACATCTGCAACCACGCCGTCAACCACGCGGTCCCGGAGGGCCAGGACTTCCACCACATGGTCAAGCAGGCGGTCACGGAGGGCCAGCGCACGGTCACGGAGGGCCAGGGCAAGCACGCGGCCACGGAGGGCCAGGACTTCAACCACGCAGTCCAGCAGGCGGTCACGACGGAGGGCCCGCGCACGGTCACGGAGAGCCAGGACATCTTCAACCACGCGGTCACGGAGGGCCAGGACTTCCAGCAGGCGGTCATGGAGGGCCAGGTCGCGGTCACGGAGGGCCAGAACATCTACAACGACGCGGTCACGGAGGGCCAGGGCTTCAACAGCGCGGTCAAGCAGGCGGTCACCGAGAACCAGCTCACGCGCACGGAGGGCCAGAACACCTACAACCACGCGGTCACGGAGGGCCAGGACTTCAAGCAGGCGGTCACAGAGGGCCAGCGCGCGGTCACGGAGGGCCAGGACTTCCACCGCATGGTCAAGCAGGCGGTCACGGAGGGCCAGCGCACGGTCACAGAGGGCCAGCGCAACCGCACGGCCACGGAGGGCCAGGACTTCAACCACGCGGTCCAGCAGGCGGTCACGACGGAGGGCCCTCGACCGGTCACGGAGGGCCAGCACTTCAAGCAGGCGGTCACGGAGGGCCAGCGCACGGTCATGGAGTCCAACCGCGCGGTCAAGCAGTTGGTCACGGAGGGCCAGGTCGCGGTCGCGGAGGGCCAGAACATCTACAACCACGCGGTCACAGAGGGCCAGGACTTCAACAACGCGGTCAAGCAGGCGGTCACCGAGAACCAGCTCACGCTCACGGAGGGCCAGAACATCGACAACCACGCGGTCACGGAGGGCCAGGACTTCAAGCAGGCTGTTACGGAGGGCCAGCTCACGGTCACGGAGGGGGGGCAGGACCACACGGAGCACGCAGCGTTTGCGGATGGCAAGGCCTGTCTGCTGGATGAGGCCCGGCCGTTGAAGAGACCCCGCCACCAGACCGACAAGCCCGTGGTCAAATGCCCTGAGGCAGATGACCTTCCTGTCAGGCCTGCGGTTTTGGACTCGGTGGAGGCTGTCTCGCCCACGGAGCAGCGCAAACCATCCAAGCGCAAGAGCAGTGCGTCCGCCAAGCCGAAGGCCCAAGCTTCTCGTGGTCGGAAGCCGTCCGCCAAGGGGAAGGCGAAGGGGAAAGCCAAGGCTAAGGATAAGGCCGCTCTCAAGGCCACACCACACGACGCCCAAGTGGACAAAGCAACGCTGCCAGAGCTGGACAGTGCGCAGCCACCAGCCCGGGCCAAGGCGAAAAGCAACGGCAAAGCCAAGGCTGCGCCAAAGACCCGAGCTGAGAAGCGCCTTGAATGGTCGCCCAACACCAAGAAGAAGCGTGCCCGCCAGTCGCGCAAGAGCGCGGCCTACCACAAAGCGATGAAGAACGCCTTGGCCGACGGGGCGGCCCCAGAGGAAGCCAGGGCCCTCGCAAAGCACGTGGCTTGGGCAGCATTTGTGCGCACGCACGGACACACGTGTGCAAGCAGGCAAAAATGCACGCGCGCATGCGCACACGCCAGCGCGCGCACACACACACACACAGTCGCACAGGCACAGGCACAGGCGCAGGCATGCACACACGCACACGCGCACGCACGCTACTCCCCCGTGCATGGGCACGCGCGCACGCACGCAAGCACCCACCCACAAAAACAAACGCGCGCACGCGCAGGCACTTGAGCACACGAGCGCACGCGTGCGTGTTGACATGACGCGCGCGCAGCGGCACGATATATATCACGCGCGCTCCGTGACTCGATCCGAGGCCTACGCAGTGACGGTGTGAGTTTAGATCTTCGCTGGTGCGTTAGTAGCTGGAGGTGGCTACTGCGCGTCAATCGCGCTGCAGTGCATTAAGCCAGTCGGCCATGCATGCAGCCGGGGTCTTCATTTTGCGTAGGCCTTTTCAGGTCAGCAGAATGCTCTTTTAGAACCTTGACCCAGTGTCAGGGACTGGTGCGTGGCATTGTACGTGATATCGAAATGCGCGGTTAACGCATGCATGTTGCTAGCTAGCCCACCGTCACCAGCCTGGTGCCAGGCGAAGACGATGCCGAGACAGGCGGCCTGGGCAGTCCGAGCTCGGATGAATGGTCCGCCCCCCCCCCGCACGCGAATGCCCCGCATGCAACGCTTGACCCGAGCTTGCCATCGATTTGCGCTGGTGGCCTCTGACCTTTTCTCAAGTTTTTGAGCCTTTTGTGGCCCGGTCCCATAGCCGGCGGGTCGCGCAATGGGAAGCATAGTAATGACGCTGATGGAGCTTGGCGCTCCTAAAGTGGCTCGTTTCAAACAAGAGCATGGGCCATTTCGGTTCAACTGCAGCCCAGGTTCTGATTGCCATTGCCGCTGGGCCTTCAATGGATCACGTGGCCCCACAGGGCCAAAATGTAGCAGCCAAGGTTCTGCTTCTAGGGTGGTGCCCGGAGCTGGTGGCTAAAATTGATGGCCCCGTGAATTTCTTCGAAGTTTTCGCAGGCAAAGGGCACACCTCGCAGGTTTGGCGGCTCGGCTCCCTGTGCTGTTAGCGCCGGTTTGGTTGAGTTTGGGTGGAAGTTGACAGTCCGGTTTTTTACACATCGAACCACCGACCCTGTTTAAATTGGCCCTGGACACAACTTGGTTAACTGCAGCCAAGTGCCCCGAAAGACCCAAAGGCCAGCGACGCTTCTCCCCTTGCTGAGGCACTCGCGCGGGTACAAAGTCGCCAGCCTGGACAAGGACTACTGCGAAGGGAACGGAATGAACTTTCTGGAGTCCGCTGGCTACGCGCACCTAGGCTCCATCTATATATGCATGCTTTTTGAATCTTGCGTGCATGGCGCATGCCGTCTAAGATGCGCGTTGCTGGTTGCCATGAACTTGGCCCCTGCTGCCCTGGTGCTACTTGCGCCTGATTGTTCTTCATGGTCAATATGCAGCAGATCTGTTTCTATGCGTTCGTACTTCAACCCATTGGGTTGCGTGGACCGGGAGTTTGTCCAACGCGGCACTTTGATGGTGTCGCGGACCTCGGGCTTGAAAGTGATGCCTTATAGATTGCGTTTCAACATGCCCGCTTGAGCCAAAAGCACCACTTGGCCTTTAGCGCCTGAGGACAGCTGTCCTCATTTACGTTGTGTTGGCCAAGAACTCAATATTTGTGGCGGAAAATCCCCGACAAAGCCTCTTATACCGTCATCATCGTTGGGAGCAACTCTGCAACCATGTGGCATGGGCAGCTCCGGCATGCTTACAGAGCGTCTATGGGTAGCACAACCGCGTTCCCCACAAAACACGCTGCTAAGGTGTTTCGATGCGATTTCTGGATGGCCCACTGGGGGGGAAGATGCCCCAAACGAACATCAATGTGGAGCAATCATTCCCTAGTGGCCGGGCTTGATGGAGGAACGTTGAGCGCAGAGCAAAAGGCCAAACTGGACCTACAAACAACCAGTGCTTCAGCCGCATGACTAGCCCAAGCTACCCAAGCTACTCCGCTCTTTCCACATCGCGCCCAGGAAAGTATGAAGACTCGCAAGGAGTTGCCCGGTTCGCCGGCGAGCCTGGCAGTCTGAAGAGCAAGCTCGCTGGCAGCAAATTGATCTGTCCTGCAAAGCGCAAATCTGCATGCCACACAATTGACATGTATACATACACAGCCAAGGGCATATCCTTACGAATTTGGGGAAAGGCTACTACAGCTTTATGAGGGGGCAGTGAAACCGGAGCCGTGCTTGCGGCGAAGATTTCGTGTGCCATCAGGGCTGTCTGATAGAGAGCTGTTTGATAGCTACCCCATGGGCGACACGTGGTGCGATGCCTCCCTCCAGTCAGTTTATGACTATGTCAAGAACTACCGGGGGTTGCAAGTGCCACCGTCGTGGCAACCTTCAATGGCACAGTTTGAGTCGCAGCTTCAATCCACGGTGCTTTGATTGCAAATGAGAACTATAAACTGCAGTCAATCTCTTCGGGAGACTAGTGCCAGCGGGCCAAGGTTGCAGTCACCCAGGACTGATGGAGGACATGCCACGTGAGTAATTCGAGGGTGCAAGCCAGGTGCGCTGATCTTCGCACCAAAATTCGAGCACTTCTCAGCCCGCAAAACGGGCGCAAATACCCGCAAAACGAGCGCAAATACCCGCAAAACGAGCGCAAATTAAATTTCGGTACCAAACGGTCTTGGTCATGCTTGTGCATAATTGGACAGTGTGAACGCACGCAGTGGTTTTGAGCTCCGTCAGTCTGTTGAGTAGCCATGTCTAGTTGCGCTTCGCTGGAAGATGGTCTTGGATCTCTTGGGAAGCACTGCGGCGGTTCCCCAAAAACCGTTTTGGACCTGGACGCAATGATTGCTGAGATTGGCCTGCACTAGAGTGTGAAAAGACCGATCCCATTAGCCCCGAGCCCTCAGCTGCCACTGCCCAGGCCTCTGAGAAGGAGCTGGTGGCCTTGCAGGCGGATATTGCTCAACAGCAAGCTTTGCGACCGCTGGAGGAGAACACTGTGGTTCAGCCAGGCGGGGGCGAAGTTGGGAACCCTTTGTCCAATCCCGTGTACTAGTGGGTTGGCCAAAATCGAAACGTAACATCGTGCCCTTTCGCGGTGGTCCACCAAAGCAGGCCCGATGCAGAAAAGCGCTCTCTCTACATGTTAGTGCTAGCCGCAGCAACAAAAACAACCGCTCTTTGGTTGATACACGGGCGTGCACCATGCCCTCCATGCCACTGTCTTCAGGCGGCTGAAAAAGCGATACAGTCACCAAAGCCTTCGGGTGACTGCTTCCGTGTTGGCCCATTGCATCAGTATCATCTGAAGCAGGATGCTGAACAGTCCTGCGCCTTTCTCTCACTCCATCTTCTTGTCACTTTCCTTCTTCTTCTTCCCATCGCCTTCACCACCACTATTCGTGCTGATGACTACCATGATGATGATCAATTTTGATGCGGGCAAAAAGACCTCGTAATATGCTTGATCCCCCCTGTGTAATGCTTCATCCCCCCAAAACCAAAAAGCTTGCAATGCTTGATCCCCTGAAACCTAAAAAGCTTGTAATATGCTTTCTCCCCCCGCCCAAACCTAAACAGGTTGTAATGCTTCACCCCCCCGCCCAAACCTAAACCGCCCAAATTTAAATAAACTAGTATTGCAAACCTAAACAGCTTGTGATGCTTGATCCCTCGCACCAAACCTATGAACAGGTTGTAACGCTCGATCCCTCTGCCCCAACCTTCACGGGTCGTACTGCGCAATCCCTGCCCAAACCTAAAAAGGTACGTTGCAGTGCGTCATCCCTCTGCCCAACCCCAAAAGCTATTGCCCTCATTTCTCGCCCGAAACAAGCTGGCTTGTTATAAACGTTTGCGGGTAAAACGCGCAAGTGGAATGCACAATCTTTTGGCGGTAGCAAGCCCCGGTCCTTAAGTTTATGAGCTTTCTTGTGGCAAGGGAAAGCAATGACTGGAACCCGCCACCAACTTGCCAAAAGCCGTTCTGGAACACAGGATCATTGGTGGTGGCCCAGGACGCTGGTGCCGCTGTGGCTGGGAACTTGGTATGCACACTGGGCGACACCCTTCCTGAGACACCCTTGCAAGGGCGTGCCGATTCGAAAGAGTCCCTTGCGGTTCAACGGCAACAGTCTTTGGAGGTTAACCGGCAACCTTCGGAGACGTGGCCCGATGCCCAGCCACGTTCCCTTTTTGGTGACAGCCCGATCCACATCCCAGAGAGCCAAAGCCTGGCCAACTTTGAAACGACAGCAGGCCAAGCCAGCCCTGCTCCAGCCCAGGCTCAACAGAACAATGCTGCACCACCAACTTCGCAAAAGGTGTTTAGCCCGTCGCTTGCTCGGAGCCCTTCCCCGCCTCCCGTTCCAAAGAGCTCTTCCCGATCGCAGAGCCTTGCGCCGGTGCAGACGAACCCAGCCCCATCGCCTACCCCACCGCCTGCGAAACAGATCCCTGCGCAAGTGCAGAGCCTTGTCCCGCTGCACAAGAGCCATGCCCCAGCGCCGGCCCAGATGACCCCCTCAAGCCAGCGCAAAGAGGCGCAAGAGCCAGAGAACAAGTTTGGGAAAGAATACCACCAGCCCTTCGGCAAAACATTAATTAGCTTAAGTGTTGTTTTGTTCATCCCCATGTCGCCACCCCAGGTTGCGTCGGTATTTTACACCCAGAAAGAACGGCTCCCAGCTCTGCAGCAAAGAGGCCTTGAAATTGTGGAGGTCCGACCGTGCCCTTGCTTGATGGAACATGGTCCAGGGATTTCCAGCATTTTCAAATGAGCTCACTTTGCCTTGCAAGAGTCGCAGCTGTACATTCTTTGTGATTCAAACTCAGGGGATGCCTTGGTTGATCTCTTCAAAAAGGAGGGGTCATTTGGTGCTATGGAGCTGGCCGTGAAGAAGTTTCAGAGCAAGGTGTACGACCACGGCCATTCTGGGGCTTGGGTAACCAAGCAATACCTCATGACGGAAAAGAAGTGGACTAAGTGCTTTGACTTGGCATTTAGGTTGCTTGTGGTCGCTGTTGCATATATCTGACCACTGACGCCCTAGGTCGATGGCGGACAACGCTTTTGCTTACGCGAAAGATCGCAATCTGATAAGGAAAAATGAGATTCATGGGGAAACAGAGGCCAAGTTGATTTTGGAGGAGTACTTTGGCTACCGTGAGTCGGAGGGCCAAGAAAGCACTGAGCAGGGATCCTTCTCGCTCGAGGCCGCCTCGTTGTTGAAACCATGCTTGCCTGGAACCTCATGAGCCCTGCGGAATGCCTTCGCTGACAGGACCACGATGGCCA